TTGATTCAGAAGTTCCTGCTCCATTGTGTTTGACTCTGGGTGAGTGGTTGTCATGGTAACACCCTTCCACACAGGATTTGACACCTTGACCTTGTTAGCCCCGTTGAAAACTGTTTATCGTTCCATATTTATTCTAAAATTCACAGTTTTGTGTCAATGATAAAAAAACAGTGTCATCAAACAATATATTCAGTTTGGCTGCAAAAATGTTGACTTTGCCCCATAACTATCTACCCATAATGAGGCCATCTTTTAAATAAATGACACCATCTGGGATCATACTGGCTGCCTATAAGTCATGCCTTCATTTTGTTATTTGCTTGGCAAGCACAATGAACATTTTACTGAATTTATAGAAAATATGACTCACTCAACTTACAACGCGGTAATGAAGAACACATTTACAGCACCATCATCTGGAATCTTGCCTTTAATTATTTTAAGCAGTGAACACAGGGAAAAGAGAGAGTGTCCACGTGTAGATAAACTATAAAGGATGAATGCGACTTTTACAACAGTTGGAATAAAGGTGAAGGATATGGTATCCTGTGATTACAAACTGTGACGTGGGAGGGTGAGAGAACAGGATGCATCTGACGAGTATGCAGTGGCGTCGATAACGTGTTTGTGCGCAGGTTCAAATGTCATTCTTTGTTATTGTGCAAAGTCTATTTGAAGTGTATTGTTTGTTCATTTTTTCTGATTGCTTTTTGACCTTATCAGTATAAACAAAAAAAAACAAACATGCAATATTTGAAAATTTGATAATATTTGAAAAAACCCATGCTTTTCTGTACATTATATAAAAAAAAACCTGTACATTCTTCGGCACATTCTCTTTCTGAAAGTAGAGATAGGTTGCCACCTAGTGGGCAAAAAGCTGTCCTGCCTTTTTTGGGGGAGTGGTGGTTGGTGGTTAGGGGAGCGGACTTAGGTCCACTAGCTGCAAAATTACCACTGAGGTGCTCTGAGCATGGCACCGTCCCCTCACACTGCCCTCCAGGGGCTTAAGCTGCCGCCTGCTCCCTTTAGTGATAAGTTAAATGCAGAGGTCACATTTTGTTGTGTGGTTCACTTTCCTTCCTTTCCTTTCCCTTCCTTAAACCTTTTTCTTACATACCTCTTAAAGAGGACTGTCTGACTGCCTGCGTAATGTTGTTGTTACACATTTTAGAAATTACAGATGCATCAATCAAGATTAGAAGTAAATCCTCATCTATTTTTTAAATGTATTGTTATTATTTTAAGGTAACCCACATTTTGTAAAAAGCAAAGTTAAAGTCATGGCATTGCAGTTATTAATTAAGAATAAGGTGTTTGGGTTTCTGTGTAGGTTTCTTTCAGCTCATAAATGTAGAATACAACAAAATGAAAACATTATTGTCCTGAAAGTAAAAAAAAAAAGAGTAATGTTTATGTAGAAACATAAACATGTTTATGTACTTGTCTTATGTCATACATACATTTTTGTGAATAAAACATATGTATTTCATTATGTATGACATTAATGAACACATCATTGTTACAGTTCTTTTTCACAAATCCATTTAAATAATGCTGTTTTCTTTTTGACCTTCCAGGTCCAGTATACTCCACAATAGAGACTGAAGCATCCATCCCTCACCGCGGTGTCACTACAGTTGGTCCTGTAGCACTAAGCTTCATGGCGGGGTTCGCTGTCCATTGACGCAACACGCTGCCTTACTGCACCAGCAGCCATGTCCGCCTGCAGCACATTCACTGAGCACGTATGGAAACCTGGCGAGTGCAAGAACTGTTTCAAACCTAAAAGTCTGCACTGTGTGGCTCAGAGTGGTGGAGGGAAGCCTCCCTCTGACCAGAGGCTTCCCACAGTCCAGCAGCACAATCCACTCTCTCCTGGAGCTAGAACCAACTCAAACCTTACTAATAACTCCCAAAGGGCTAGCTGTGGGACAGGCCGCTCGGGAAACTTCCGACCACCAGTGGCTAAGAAGCCCACTATTGCTGTTAAACCTACTATGATGCTGCCCTGTTCCTCTGCAGGGCTGGACTCTGATGGGAACCTGCAACAACCACCAAGTGTAATAGAGCAGGGAAAAGAATCTGCCTTCATAGTCTGGAATCGCAATGGACTGAACCACAAAAGGCCAATTGGACTTAGCAACAACAATGAGGGAGAGGATGCCAACAAGGACATTAAGGGCTATGCACAACTTAGTCCAAGGACACCTACTGGAAATAATAATAATAGTGGTCTGACAGATGTTCTCAAGGAGATTGCAGGATTAGGACCTGGCCCGAGTCCCCCACTTCTGTCAGGTTCAAAAGATGTCTTTTGGGGAAGAATATGTAGCTCATACCAGCGGTCCTTAGAAAGAGGTCTTCCAGCTTCAAGCTGTTTGGCTGTTGGAAGTAGCAGTAGTGGAGGTGGAGGCAGTGCTCAGAAGCGAGTTTCTCTCAGTGACAGCACTGAGGTTATCAGCACAGAAGGAGGTCGTTTCTGCTATCCGGAATTTTCCAGTGATGGTGAAGATTACGAAGAGGATGATGAAGAGGACGACACTGATAGGGATGATGAAGATGATGAACATGAAAGCTGGGATGAAAGTGACGAAGAGTTACTCGCAATGGAGATACGTATGCGTGGCCAACCACGATTCGCAAATTTCCGCGCAGCCACTTTGTCTCCAGTGCCTTTTGCTGCTGGAAAAAAATGGAATACGGTACCACTTCGAAATCGCTCTTTACAGCGGATATGTGCAGTGGACTATGACGATAGTTACGATGAGATCTTAAATGGATACCCTTCCATGGACCCCAATGCCTGTTTACTTCCTTATGGCTCTCAAAGCATACAGGGCAGTGGTTTTCTGTCAAATTCTGAGCAGACAACATCTGCAGAATCATCGTCGTCACAACCAGATGATTCTCAAACCATTTCTAGTAGTGGGAGCAGTGCTTTTCAGCAGGCCATACATTCTCCCACCTCACCTAAAGCACCTGCCTTGAGCACTCCTCCGAGGAAGGAGCCGGTCCATAGAGCACTGAGTCCACTCAGGGTTACTGAAACGCACAAGGCTGTCCTGGCCATTAGATTAGAAGATCAGGAAAATAGAGATGGAAAGCCAATGCCACAGGCCCTTCCTGGTCAACCAGTGACCATCAGTTTTAGCCCCACAGAAGAGCAGGCAAAGCCATACCGTGTTGTAAATCTGGAAAAATCACTTATCTGTAAGCCCTACACTGTAGTGGACGTGTCGGCCTCCATGGCTAACAAAGATGAACAAAATCCAGACTCTGCCCAAAATTCAAAAAACTTGTCCATGCCCTCCAGCCCCACCTCCTTCTGTAGCACTCCTTTAGGTCCGCCCCTGTGCCCAGCATCCCTCGTTTCCCCATCAACACCTGTGATGCCAACATCTCCAAACTCACTAACCTCTCCTGTGGGGCAAACATCTCCTACTTCTGTTTCAGTGTCATGTAACAGCCGAAAGAAATCGGGAAATATACGATATCAAGAAGTGTGGACATCAAGCACCAGCCCTCGTCAGAAAATACCTAGAGTAGATTGTGGAGTTGGGAGTGCTTCTGGTCCCTCTTCATCCACAAAACTTTGTAGTCACAAGTCAGCTCCGACTTCCCCCATTGCTGGGCTGTCATCCTCTCGAACTGTGCCTGTGAAATCACCAAACCTGTCAGAGATCAAATTCAACAGTTTCAACAATGCAGGCATGCCACCTTTTCCCATTATAATTCGGGATGAGCCGACCTACGCCCGCAGCTCCAAAAATGCAGTAAAAGTACCAATTGTCATCAATCCAAGTGCATATGACAACCTTGCTGTGTACAAGAGCTTTTTGGGACTAAATGGGGAATTACCCCAGCCAAAAGGTAGAGGTAATAGGGTAACCAGTCATACATATGAAGAGATTGGATCCTCTGAAAGTTTTCAGTCTACCTCCACAGATAAAACTTTTTCTGGGAGAAACACGTCAGAGAGAACTTCTTTTGAAGAGACAAAATCTCCGCTTGAAGCAGGATCAAAAACCCATTTACAGACTAAAACCACTACAGAAACCAGCACTGTGAAAAGTTTGGTGAAGAGCTCCAAAGTTAGGGCTCTTTCTCCTACTACATCTACAAGTACCCCTGCCAATCTTGCCATTAATGCAACTTCACCTAAACCAAGCCCCGCAGCACATGCTGTTACACGCTCTTGCAAGACTATCGGTGATGCCTCCCACTCTAAAGATCAAGATGCAGATTTGGTTTTGACTTCAGGGGCAGCTGTAGGTCATAAAGAAGAGGCCAGTGCTGTACTTTCACAGATCGTGGCCTCCATCCAGCCTCCTAAGTCTCCTCCAGAGTCGCCCTCAGCACACGACAAAAACACTAGTTCTGAAGAACTGTATGCTCTTCCACCTGATGCTGTGAAGGAGACCCTGAGCAGACCTAGGTCCCTTTTTTCAACCACTGATGGTTGTCTTTCCATGCCCAAGAAGGACTCCCATTCTAAAGTTTTAGCTAAATCTCAGAGTGCCTCTGCTGCTGTGCCACTCTCCAGTCCACGCTCTGAACCTAGTGCCCCTTTCCCACCTCCAAGGTCTACATCTTCCCCACACCATACTTCAAACATCCTCCAAAGACATTTTAGTAACTGGGCCAGAAGTTCAGCCTTCAGTTCTCCTTCAAGAACCAATGATGGTGAAAGAAGTCCAGGTGGAGACGGAAGACATACCATAACAGAAAATGCCAAACCAAAACGTTGGATTTCCTTTAAGCGCCTCTTTCGCAGAGGGAAGGATGAGGATGAACAGAGAGAGAAAGCAGAGAAAGAAAAGGAGAAGGGGAAGTTGGTTGGTCTGGATGGAACTGTTATTCACATCCTTCCACCACCACCAGTCCAACAACATCAATGGTTCTCTGAGGCCAAACCAGAGGATCCCACCCAAAAGCCAACCATCATATTCACCTACAAACCAGAGGGTGGGACATCTGGTGATGAGGAGGGAGAACTCTGTGTAGAAGCATCTAGAGACACTTCACAAAAGACACAGGATGAAGCACAAACTACTGGAGATTGCCACAACAGTAAAGAACTCAGGTATCTGTCAATATTCAATATTTCCAGAAGCAAAGCTTGAAAATCTAGTACAATTTAAATATTTTTAGTTAGTATTTGGCTACAGACAGATTTACTTCCTTGTCTTTCTAAAGTTGGTTTCTTGTCATGCCCACATCACTGTCTGTTTGTCAAATTAGTGATCATGATGCAGTGTCTGTGTCATACAGACACTCAGGTGAGTTCTCCTCAGAGCACTCATGGACCCAACTTGAAACTGACATTGCTTAACCTTTTGTACCTTTGCATTTAAAGTAGCAGAGATTCTTTTCTTATGAAGCCGATTCCCCTGTTATAAATTCTGGACATCGTCGTCTTCTCTTTGTTTGGCTGCACACAATTAATCAGTTTGTATTTAATTGATCTTTTTTTAAAATTATAATTATGCTGCATTTGGCTTTTTTGGCCATTATCAGTATGTCCTAATGTTTTTTTATAATATTAAAAACATTCAGCATTTCATTAGATGTTAAATAGATTTCAACCTAGGAATTTAAAAGGTGACATTACTAATGAAGCATTAGGATCAACATCAACGTTAGTATTTTTTTTATTTCTTACCAGTTTATGCTGTAGAAAACCCAAAGGATTATATTTAACAATGTGGTTAATTCATGTTGTTAAAATATAATCCTTTGTAACTGCAGCATCACCCCACCTACGCTCCACCCTACCACACCAGGTGCAGAAACAATGAATCACTTTGTTTACCTGGTACTTTCCAATGGTTATCACAGTTTTTCCCTCTATCAAACATTAGTTATTGTGAGTCGCATCATAAAGTTGCAAAAAAAAATTACTGGTCATTTTAGGTCATTACTCCTGGTTTTAATGTTTGCGTGCCTTTTAATGAAAGCCCATATCTTAATTAACTCTGTTTAAATAGATAAGAGATCAATCAAAAGGTATAAATGACTTTCCAAAATCAGTTATTTTGTTCCTGTTCTCCTTTTTTGCTGCGCAGCCCAAAGATCTATGAACCCTTTAATATTTAACGTCTCCATCTTGTCAAGAGCGTGGCCCAATACTGTCTCTGTTCTCAACACTCATCGCTTTCAGTCCTCCAGAAGTTTTATTTCATGTCTTTTGTTCGGAGCCACTGTACTGTGGATAACTTCTGGTGGTGCTTGTTGTTTATGTTATTATCCCCGCTTTTGCTTAGCTTTATTTTCACATAGACTAAGTGGAAACATACATTTTTTATATATTTTTGTGTGCCTTTTCCTTCAACCTAAAATGAGCTCTGCAATAACATCAGACGTGTTTATGTTTATGTAAGAGCCTGGTTCAAAAAGAGTTTATCGCCCTCAAACTGCGGCACATTTTGGCAGTCGAATCGTCTTCTGAATGTTTTAGAGCCTTTGTTGTGAATTTAGCTACTACAGTATGTGACCTGTTTGTAGCTGCCTGCCAGGACTAGCAAGAGCGCTTCCTCTGTGGCTCATTTAGCATAAAAAAGGAGCAGTGTGCTATCATTACTGTGCAACACTAGAGCTGAAGGTTGAAAAGTTCTGTTAGGCAACAAGAGGCTTCTTCAGTTCTGAACTGAACTGTGACCATGACCTGGATGACTGAGAATCTTCATAGACTAGAGCTGAAATATTCATAAAAGTGTTGCATGGAAATAATTAAATATGTAATATGTATGTGAATGAAAATATAAATCAGAAGTTCTAGTCCCAGGTGGATCATAGAGTGAGGATTTTCTAGATTCATTATTGCATTTAAAGTTGTGTACACCTACAGTAATAGAATATAGCAAATACCACTTACCAATAGTACTCCAGTCTTATGTTATGTTGCTCTAAATTATAGACCTCACGGTCAGGCCCACCTTGTTTTCAACATTTTCTACAGTTTAAACATGTCAAGTACTGACCAGTTTTCTTCCTTGTTTTGTTAAAAAAAATGGGCCACAGTCTTTTCAGGTGTATAGATTATTGCAGTTGTTTTTTGTTGACTCCATAGCTGAACATTCCTGAAGCCTTGTGTGGCGTGGGAAAGGTGTGACATAAGTTACAGAAAGAATGTGTTTGGAATGTGAATTCAGTAAATCCTCACTCCTCTCAGCACTTTGGCAGCTGTGTTAGCGTCAACAGAAACCTACCAAGTAGACAGTGTTAACCTGAAAAGATCTGAAATGATGTATTGATATATTGGTATTGAAATACAGATCTGACACTTATGACATATTTTCATGCTGCTTGATTGTTTATTTTTTCACACAGTGAAAGTTTGTTCTGCACAGCTTGTTACACCTCAGTCATGCATTCATAAACGTTCTATTTGCTCCACACTGGTTACAGGTGACAAACTGGTAGCACAGGTCACTCTGCAGTCTTTCTCCTATAATTGGCAGAAGAGGGGTTAAGTGCAGACTGTTTTATTGGTTCATGGTAGGTGTGGTCTCTTGTGCTGGTGAACACACACTCACACACACACACCTTAGACAGGTAGGGACATTCAAAGAAGGAGAACGCAGACCAGGGGAATACAAATTGAGAAAAAGTTGATTTCTTGCTTTGGAGCTTACCAGGATACATTTTCAGTATTTGTCTAGAATGTGAAATATTTTTTTCCTTATTCCTAGATGGGAAGCTGTGTGAGTAAGTACAGTGGGTAAGCATCAAATGCAGTCTTTATTTGATCTTTTCTTCCTTCTCTAACGACTTGTGACCTAACGACATCATGTTTCAGTGACTAGTCAGTGACTAGTCATCATGTCTCAGTGAATAGGCCACTGAAATATGTGTTTTTTGGGGTCGTGGCCACTCAGTGAAATGCACTGTTTAAGCTCCATGCTGTTTAAACATGTCGGGTCCTGACACTGAAACATGTTGAAGGTATTTTTCAGTGGAGGGACTTTTATGGTGTGCATCCCCTGGATGTTGTTTTACTGCCAGAAACATCCTATGTAATTTGGTGCTCCTTTAAAACAGAGCATGTGCAAAGATAATGATAACGATGAATTAATTCATGTGAACAGAGAAGTGATCACAGAAGAGCACAAGAGGAAGTTGACTACAAAGGTCAAAGCACTTCCAGATTTTTTTTTTTTAACACGTGTTGTATCTCAGTAGACCTTTCACAGTTTAAATAATGGAGTTGTTTTCCATCTGGCTCCCAAAACAGCAACAGGCCTTTAGAGCAACTGTCTGCTGCTGGCAATGCTAACAAAATAAACTACGACAACTTAGAGGCTATTGATCGACTCTTTAAAAGAGAAGCAGAAGGCCGAGGAGCCACAAAGCCCAGATCATAAACAAGTCAGATCCGATGCTTTCCTCAGACACAGGGCCTCAGGGTGGAGACGGATACATGAGCAATGGGTGTTTTTCTTCACTGCTCACACTCCTGTCACACGTCACTGTCAAAATATTCCAATCACACATGAACATCTTGAACACGTTTGGTGTGATACGTTATACAGCACTCGACACCAACAGGAAAATCAAACTTGTATTATGTTAATTAAACAGTTCCTCCATTTTTTGTCTCATTTACTTTTTTCCGTTGAGCCAACTTTCAGGAACAGATTAGTCACGCATTTAAAGTTATTACAAACAATGTTCAACCAAATGCTCAGACTCTGTTGTACTACTAGGAGTGGCATCTTTCTAAACTTTGTTTGTTCTTCAGCTACAAGCACTATTTCTGTGATAAATCCTTAGTCATATTAACACCCTGTGTTGTTAACAGTGCAGAGGAAATAACATGTTATTCTGATTGAGAAAAAATGAAAACAACAGCCGACTTTATCCACCCATGGTCATAAACAAGCCCTTTGAACTTTTTGTGACCTATTTTCGTTTTTGTGTCAACCTTAAAACTTGTTATTCATTAAAAACGTAACAGAAAAAGTAGTGAAATAATCAGCAGTAAACTCATGTCTCTGAGATGAAGAACTGTGTTGGTGCATTTGACCGTAAATAGATGAACGTGATCTGTTATGTTTGAATCTCTTGTGTTTATTTCAGCATCTTGATGCACATTATTCACTTTGTTATACACTGTACACGTCAACATTGCAGTTCAACCTAGCTATTCATTGCAGGGTTAATCATGACATCCTTTTACTTTGGATTGTGGAATGTAAATGTTGAAGTATCGTACAAGTTATCTAAAATTTCATTGTATAGTAGCTTAGGACAAGCAAGTTGGAAGCAATAGCTGTGAATGTGCCTCAACAATTTAAGATATCAAAACTATCTGTAAAAAGTCAGAATTGTTGATGAAGTGTTTAATGATATAGTCAAGTCATGAGGTTTAATGTGTTTTGTATCATCTTTTTGCCTAAAAAGTCTAAAATGTGCATGAAGAATTTCATGACAGACTTTGTATAAATTGTTACCAAGTGTAACGTTATGTGTGGCACATTATGTCACCAATTTGAATCCCCACTCTGGGCTCTCTTTTAACAGTTCCCTGAATTTGAAATACTGGGAACAGAGGCAGTGGATTTAGTCTGGGTTTTTGAGTTGATTTTCTGCAGAAACCACTGCTCTCCGGTGTGCCTGTTCTGTTACTTCCTAATTGCATATCCTTGTCTTGTTGGATTTTGTTTTGCAGACAGTGTTGTACATGCAAGTAGAAATAGGAAAGTACAAACAATGTCCAGGACCCTATGGGTTTTTAGATTGTCTATAGATTGCCTGGAATCCAACATTTCAATATTTACAGCTTTAGTTACCGATAAGAAAAAAAAAGTATTGTGTAATAACGATCACATCCAGTCTGTCACCCCACTCATAACTTTGTCACGACTCTTTTTTGGATCCTTGAAAAAAATGAATCTCACCCTCTTACACACCTCTAATTATATGCACCGGCAGCACAGAGGGACAGAGGGAAGCAATTTTAACACATTGTTATAAACTTCTCTGCCTTCCAGTCAAGAGTCACGCAGGTGTATTAAAGCATACCCAAGGCCCCATGTTATAATCCAAAACACTGTAATCAAATCCTAAAATAAGCAGAATAATAATCCTATTTGTATCTCTCTCTCTCTCTCTCTCTCTCTCTCTCTTTGTCGTATGCAGCCAGGTACCAGTCAGTGCCAGAGAGCGAGAACTGCTCAGCGCGAACTGTCAAAATGCCAAAGTGAATCTGGGTCTGGTGCTGGGGGAGGATGAAGAGGGACATGCCAACACGGTCGCCCCACCGGCTTCAGCCAGTGATGGCAGTGGCAGCCTGGGGGAGCCAGAGGATGATGGGAACCGATCCCACTCTCCTGCCTCTAGCCAGAACAGTGCCACCTACAGTAACCTTGGTAAGAGGACTGACATGTGCATAATGTCAGAGGATCCTAATATGGAACTCTGATGTTTTAGTAAATGTTGATAAGACATAGGTTCATGTTTAATTATTCACAACCTAAATATACACTAACAGCAGCGACTCCTTGTCAGCAGTCCTTGCCTCATCCTGTTAAGTGTTACTGCAGGGTACATTGCACCCACTCCTGTTCTGAGTGTGTCACAGAGAGTGTGTCTCAGTCTGGAGAAAACAGTAAAGTTAATATATAAAAAAGTAGTAAGTGGAACCAAAAGTGGTGACGAATGAAAACTTTGTAAGGAGAGCTAAGAAGTAAAACAATAGAAACAGTTTTCAAATCATCAGTGAAGACTTCATTGGTCCAATTGGTAAGTAACATTGGTGGTCAGCACCAATCAAAAAGAAGCTTCTTTATGCCTGTGAGATTTCTCTAGAAACAAATCATAATGATGTCATTCATTGGATAAAAAGTTAACTTAGTAAAGAAAATAGGAAAATAAGATCATACACAATGAACAGCAATAAAATTAAAATAAATGTTAAAATTATGTAAATATTTATTTATAGGTTAATCCATCCATTTCCATGCCATAGTTAACTGTGTCAAAATGGATGACTAAACACGTAGTTGCGAAAACTAGGAAACTTGACTTGGGAATATTTATTAGGCTGCAGATGATTTTATTTTTTTTCTCCTCTTCATTCTGCAAAAAGAATATAGTTACTCCGCAGTTATACTGGAAGTTTACGTGAAACCTGTCAATGAGTGGCTGCACTTCACCTCACTCCAACTGTAACTGTGGCTGTTTTTACTGTAGTCAGCATCAGCACACCTCCGCATATGACAAGTGACAAATTATTCCCTGCTAAAACAGCTGCTGCTCAAAAACCTCCACACATCCTGTCATCCAGAGCCTAACACTTGATATCAAATTATTTATTCCAGCTCCCTATTTTGGTGAGGAATGTAAGAGACTCAGACATCAGGATATAATCATCACATTTTCTTTGTGTTTACTCTGCATTTGTCTGTGTCTTGTTGGTTTTTAAAAACCGGTATGTGCATATTTAGGTATTATTACAGCTAGAGAAGCTTATATAAAATGGTCATTTCAGAGTGTGAATTATTTTATCTTAATCACTATATAAACATAATTACTATTTTGGTTTTGTAGCTCGACCAAGTGAGTGTAAATGGAAAAGCTTTTAGAAAGAGCTTTTAGTTTGGAAAACTAATTGTAATGTTTCTAAATGTACCTTGGATTAGGACAATGTTTCCCAAATTCCAATTTCCTAGTTTCACATTTTACCTACTAATTGTTGAACAAAGCAATGATATATTCACAGGAATTGAAGAAAGACATCCAGTATATACAGTCTTATTCAACAGCTCTGAGTCATGGACAAAAAGTCCAGTGCATTTTAGGTGTTTTAGTTCTAACACCTTACTGCTATGTTTATTTGAACTTTGTTTTGGTGGTTAAACCGGGGGTAGCCTCTGCTTCTGAAGAAGGTAGCTGCCTGTTCCGAACTTAAAGTAAGGGAAAAGATTTCACTGTGATCAAAGCAATTTTTGAGTGAAAAGAAATAAAAGCACCAAGTGATGTGGAGTGGGGGGTGTGGGCGGGGGGGTACCGCAGAGGAGCAGATGCACGATTGAAGTTGGCCTGTCTGATGTTTTTAAAAAGTCTGTCTTCTTGAAGAGGTGTGTGTGTGTGTGTGTGCACTATACTAATTAGACCAGGCCCTGTCTCGTTTCTTATCGGTGTGTGTTTTTGTGAAGATCTGTGGATGGATGTGTTTTGGGTTTGCTAAAAACTCCCTGGATGATGAATGATGAGCTGCCGGCACTCTAATTTTACTTTGGCTGCTAATAAGCAGCGAGCAGATCTGACTGTGTGTTTTTATATCTTTGAAACATTATGAACTGAGATGTATCTGTTCAGAAGGTTCTGCATCATCCCTGTGTCTCACGCCAATTATGAGATTTACATCATCTTGACCTGTCAGAAATGTAGGATTGATCTGCCTCCTCTCTCACTCCCCCTCTCACTCTCTCTGTCTCTCTCTCTCTCTCTCCATCTTTCACCCTCACTCTCCCACACACCCACAACCTCACTATCTCTACACAATTTGCACATGCTTGTTTATTAATCAGTGGCAGCAGGAGGAGGCAGAGCGTTCACTGCCTCTCTCGCTGTTGAGTCTCCCGTTCTGCCTCCTGTTGGCAGCAGTGGCTCAGTACCAGTTCTTGGAGATGGAAGCAAAGACCTTTTTCACTCTGCCTGCCTGTGCAGGTGTTGCATCACTTGTATCTTGAAACTTTCGAGCATTAGGGGGGATTGAGGTAGGCTTGTTTTTCATCCTTCCTTTCATCCATCTATATTAGCTTCATACTGCGTCGTCAATTTTCTCCTTCGTAGTTTATTTTGTCTGTCACCTTCTTTTCATCTAATCATCCACTTCATCCTTCAGCATTACATGATTGTTCGACAGTAATTCTACCTTATATGTAAATGTGAAAAACTGTGAGTTTAAGTATGTGGAGTATCCAATTATTTGTTCATATTTATAACCTTAAGATATTTACTGCCTGTCACTCTGCATCAATACTTTCTTCTAATATCTCTATTATGGTTGATGTAATGGTTTCATTCATTCATTTACACACTATTTCTGCACAGAACTCTGACATCAACTACATTTATTTTGGGGCAAGAACTGTGTTCATGTTCATACCAAAGTATGTGTTTGAATTAGCTGTTTAGCTAAGGTAGTCAAAGACTAACACAGATACCGTACAGGAACATGATTTTTGATCTTGGGTTTGGTTACCTTTCATCTGTGTCTAAAGTGCAGCCTGGGGCCCATCGTAGGTTTTGTGCAGCCTGACCTGGGATGTGTATTATTTATGAACTGCCAGGACAGTCGACCAAAACTAATAAATCGTACAAACCTACGTTTTATTTCCTCCTTTGGGACACTCTGCTGCCCTTACCTGGCAGCCTGATTCACTGATGCTTTTATTCTCCTAGTGAAGTTTGTTGTCCAACGATGGTAAAGTGACATCTCTTCTTCTTCCAGTTATTATCTTACTAAAAATAAATGAAGTGTTCTAGACTGATTGCTAATGCAGTTACTGTCATTGTTGGATTGATGGTTTGAGTCTGAGCTCTAATGGGGCTGTGGTGTGTTGAACAAGTACCAAAACCTCCCTCGCTACTAAAGCACAGTTTGTTTTCACCCACGGGTCCGGTTTCACAAATGGACTTAATGTGGAGGACGAGGTGTGTGTTTGTTTGTGTGTGTGTTTGTGTGTATACTGAATGTACAATGACAGCCGAAGTAGCTTCTTCTAATGCTTCATACTAGGCTGAGGTGACTTTGGAGGAATACCTGACTGTCAGATCAAAAGTTCGGGTCAGTGTTGTAAGTGACCTGGTGTAGCCGCTCCAAATCCCAGCTGTTTTTATTTCCATAATGCAAAGTGGATGAGCCCTCCTGCTCTTGTCAAACACTTGTCTCCGACACAGTTGTCTCTTCAATCCAACATTCAGGAGTCCATTCAACCTCTTCACCTTCCCTCTCATCACTGTCACAGAAAAGAAATGTCACTTCAGGTCATTTTCCCTCTCGCCTCTCTGAGCCTCACTGCAGAACAAAATTGAAGATGGCTGCGTGAAATCACTCATTCAGCTGCTCTGTTGGAGGAACGGCATGTGTCCAACAGTTCTGCTGTCCAGCCTGACTCCTTAGAACCGGCACACATTTGTTATTGTGATACATGCCATTCATATTTCCTAAGGAAAATGAAAGCTTTTATATACGTTATTATTTTTTTTCCAAATGCTCTGTGTTCATCTGAGTATTTTATAAAAATTTTTCTTTTATTCTCTTTTCCAGGTCAATCCAGAGCCAACATGATCCCACTGAAACAGCCACGTAACATGAAAGCTTCCAACGACACCCTGGCTTCTCTGGACCTGGACACTCTCCCTGACCTGCCACCCCCACCACCACTACCTAAAAAGGGCGTGCCTCGTCCTGCCACTGAAGCCACACCGGGAGGTAAAGAAACCGTGCAGGCAGCTGTGAGACCTCGAGCTGAGGCTAAACCTGGTGGCACCAACCTCAGCGTTGCCAACCCTTTGTATGACTTGGACACCACGTGGGAGACAGCAAGTCAGAGCTCCTCCTTAAGTGCGGAGCCTCACCGAGCCCTGAACCATGAGAGCGGAGACTCACTTGAGGTACCAGCAGCTCCTGCTTCTGCTAGCAAGAGCCAACCCAATAACGGCACATTTGCTGGGCCTAGTGCCACCACCGGCAGAGAAAGACGAGCCTACCCAAGTACTGAGTCTTTGGCCGGAAGAGGTCACACCACAGGGCGTGCAACTGGGGGAGGAGACCCAAAACCCCAGAGGTCTGCTCTATACAGGTCCCTGGAGAGCTGGGATGAGGTGGTGGGGAGGATCCGGAGTCTCCACATGGACACATTACGGAAGCTGGCGTCAAAGTGTGAAGACCGTTTCATGGCCGGCCAAAAAGGTCACATAAGATTTGGTACAGAGAGCTGGTCCCACTTCAGGCTGACCACAGGGAAACCCTGCTGCGAGGCTGGGGACGCTGTTTACTACACTGCATCTTATGCCAAGGACCCGCTGGTCAACTATGCCATTAAGGTGAGATGATGTTCTGTGTTGAACACAGATGGGTCCATATCTAAAATGTTCTGGTTTTGGTAAACCAGAACCTTCTTCTGTTTTTTAAAGGATCAAAGTAATAACACAGCAAACCTATGGGCTGTTATGCTTAATAAAAATATAAATACAAATGCTATGCAACATGACCCTGATTCTGAGGTGTAGGTTACTGAAAATGACTTCATTTTAAACTGCTAGACTTTTTTATTTTTAGTCATTAAACTAGGTAACAGCATCATTCATCAGTAATTACAGCAGGTTGTCATTCCCTGGTCCAGTCCAGTCTTGTACTATGAGTCAAGTTTTGGTTTCTTTTACGTGTTTTGAAAAGTTCATCTGTTAATCTAGTAGGAAACTATCACCATTTTAAATCACTTATTTTACTTTATGGTTAAAATTGGGTTGTACATGTATGTACATAGTAGTATCTCAAGTTACTGCAGTTTGTGTGAAACATTCAAGCATTTGTTAAGGATTTTATTTTTTTGGAGTAACATCTGCTCGTCCTTTCCCAACTTCAGCAGGGGAATGTGTGTGTTTTGCTTCAAACTCAAACTATCTGCCTTTCAGGCACGGTCTGCAGCCTAACCTGTGTGTGCTTGCTCTAATTGTGTGTGGGTAGCAGTTCTGTCAGCACGTGTGTGTGTGTGTCTGTGTGTGTCTGTGTGTGGTTGAATCTTTTGCATAAGACTGAGCCAGAGAGTCAGGGGTGGGGGCTGGGGCCAGAGTTTGGCAGCAGAGTTCTGAAAGTCTGAAACTAAATACATAGCAGAAAAGGAGGAAGGCTGCATTATTCACAGAGAAGGAAACTCTCTGTTCTCCATAACACTTCAAAGCTTTGCTTTCATATTAAATGCCTGAGAGAAAATCTTATTTTTATGACGCTCATCCATAAATAAGCGACCAGGGGCAGAAAAATAGAAACAGATTCCAACTTTCCAATTAAACTTTGCTTAACTTTTTAGTCGGATCTGACCCAGTTGTGCTCTTGTCTTTCTTAGTTCAGTAACTTCAGCTAATCCTCCTGAAAATACCGTTTTACGAGCTGCAGTAGGTTTGATACAAATAGGGTTTTTTTTAATCAATTTCTTTATTTATGAATATATTTTCTTATTTTCTTTGCTTGTTTTTTTACCCGATGAACAAAGTTTCAAGTGCATCAGCACGTTCCAGATTTTTTTCTCATTGTAGGAAATTGTAGCAGCTTTTCAGGTCAAAGGTCAAAAAGACAAAAAAAATAATGTTCTTTTTCTTCTTTCTTTACTTTACAGATTTGTCGGAGCAAAGTGAAGGAGACGCAGCAGCAGTTTTTCCACAGTCTCGCAGTCAGACAGAGTCTGGCTGTGCACTTCAACATCCAGCAGGACTGTGGACATTTCCTGGCTGATGTGCCTTCACGCCTGCTGCCCTGGGAAGAGGAGGAGGAGGATCAGGAGGAAGTAGAGGGTGATGAGGAGGGAGATGTCACCAAGTTGAAGGAGAAAGATAAAGAACCAGAGACTGAAGCCAAGAAGAATGCTCCAAATACCAAACTGGATGAAACAGCAGCAGCAGCAGGTCACGTCAACAATCGCCTGAGGAGCCGGGTGGTGGTCATCACGCGAGAGGTTCCCTTCCAGACTGTGGCAGACTTTGTCAGAGAAGGTGTGGTCAGACACACTCAGAACCCAGAGCTGTACGAGCGTCAGGTCTGCGTCCTGCTGCTGCAGCTGTGCTCCGGCCTGGAGCACATGAAACCGTATCACGTCACCCACTGCGACCTGCGACTGGAAAACCTGCTGCTGGTCCACTGCCAACCTGGTAACACCTGGAATCTGGACTTACTCGAGCCCAACAACAACAGCAACAGCAGCGGCTCTAGTGCGGCCTCTGCTGGTGCCCCTGCTGCCACTGCTTCTTCTTCAAATACCACGTGCCCCGCTCGCCTCATCATCAGTAATTTCTCTCAGGCCAAACAGAAGAGCGCTCTGATAGCGTCGGACCCTGGTACTCTGCGGGACCAGTCGCGTCTGGCACCTGAAATCATCACGGCGACTCAATATCGCAAATGTGATGAGTTTCAGACTGGGATTCTCATCTATGAGATGCTGCACCGGCCCAACCCTTTTGAGGAGACGCCAGAGCTGAAGGAGAGGGAGTACACATGGGCCGATCTGCCTCCACTGCCCGTCAGATCACTTTATTCACAGGGTCTCCAGCAGCTGGCCAGGTTACTGCTCACCGTCAACCCCTCTGAGAGGATCAGGATGTCTGAGGCACGGGCCTGCCTCCAGTGCCTCCTCTGGGGCCCTCGTGAGGACCTGTTCCAGGCTCTGGGCTGCAGCAGCTCTGGCCCCATGTCGGGGGCCACGGCCAGCCAGCGCGAGGCCACGCTCCAAAACTGGCTGGACCTGAAGCGGACACTGATGATGATCAAGTTTGCAGAGCGATCGCTGGATGCAGCGTGCGGCGTGAGCCTGGAGGACTGGCTCTGTTGCCAGTACCTGGCCTTCGCCAGCACGGACACCCTGAGCCGAGTGGTCCACATCCTGCAGCAGCCGCAGCCCTTCCCTCGCACAGTGCACAGCCAGAGTCAAGGCCAAACCACACATGTGGCCCACACCTTGCTCCTGACTCAATCACAGCCACTCTGAGCTTCTTTGCCCCTCTGTTACCATAGCAACGGATCCAACTTTCTCCCATGCGGTTACTTGGAGCCAGTCATCAGATTTAGTGTTTGAGCCCGTTCTGAAATTAACAGGCCGATTGTGCGATAGCTGTGTTTTCTTCACGAGCAAGTCGAGTGTGTATTTGTATCAAACAGCTGCAGGCGTGAAGGTCAGGGTTTTATCACTGCGCTCAGAAAGTCTGTTCTGTCAAAAATGTCAAATTCAGTGTGGGACAAACTAAAACCTAAAGTTAGTGAACTCGGTGAACATTTCTTTCCAACATTAGTGAATTTTTAGATCTTTTTTATACAAATTTGCAAGGCAGCAGCTGACGGTGATTTATTTGAGATGAATTACACGTAGTCTTCTGCGTAAACGATCTCCTAAAGATACAGGACAGTGAGCTGAGAAATTTAATGAAGATAAAGTCAGACCTCATTGACCCGGTCTTCACAGCGTGTTGTATTTTAAGCTACATTTCACTCTTGGAAAAGAAGGGTTTTAAAATGAGTGCAGGGTGAAATGGAATTTTAAGAGAGGATTATTGAAATGAAGTGAAGTGAAAATTGAAAGGTCAAACCAACCGGGGAAAAGTTCTCTTCAATTAGAAAGGGAAAATATAAAATATTTATTGTATTAAAACTATTTCTTTTGGTTTTTGATTCAAACTCTTAGAATTTTTTTATATATATGCATTATTGATTAACTCATCTGACAATTCAATATAAAATATCATGGTTTATTATAATCACACACTATCCAGAAAAAAAAAGAATATAGCTTTTAAAAACATTTTTTTTGTTTTGTTTTTTTAAAGACTTTTTAATGTTTTATTAAACAACTTAAAAGGCTGTGACGTCATGCACATTCAGCAGTAGTTTCCACTCTCTCTTTTGTACACGTAAGTGAACCTGTTGGTTAAGAAATCTCCCAAAATGTAACAACTTTTTAAGTAAAGACTGAAACACAGCCAGCTTTGATTTGCAGCTACAGCCGTTCAGAGGGTGAACTGTTTGAATCCAGACACACACTATTATGACTGTTGCCTGGGTTTCACGTTGGAATTTGTGCAGTTATTCATGTCCTCATCTTCATTCACCCACTCTTCCTCCTCCTCCTCTTCCTCCTCTCGTTGTGTGGCACATAAAGTGATTCATTTCAGTAACACAATCGGTTTCTGTGTAAAGATCTTCCTGTATCAAATGATATTTCGGGACTGAAAAAAACAAAACAAAAAAAGACTTCCTTATTGTGGCATGTGGTTTTTGTCACGTCGTGTACGAACGGTTTTGCGTTACAGATATTTGCACATTCAGTCTGAGCGGTGGCTCGCTTTGGTGCAGACTGAAGAAATGACGGTGATGAGACGGTGATGCCTGAGAGACTGAGAGACGTTCCTGTGAATCTGAGGAGCTGGATGTAATGTTGGTCTTGAAGTGTGAGGATTGTAAAGACTAAAACAGACTCTCGTTCTTTTTTTCTTTTTTTTTAAACAAACAAACACATCTTCCAGTGGAACCACTTATTCTCACATTTACACTTCCTGACTTCTTCTCCTGACGCTTCCTGCTTTTTTTACCTGAATAAATAAACAAACTCTGAGCTATTTAGCAATAACGTTAACGCTGGAGTCAGTGAAGGCAACACATTCATCCACTTCATCCACTTCATGCAAAAAAAATGGAAGAGAAAAACACTCGGAGTGTTTTGTGCACATGGGTTTCGTTGTGGTTTTATTTGGAAAAAGTATTGAGGCCAGAAGCGTTCCGTTTGTTTCCACGTGCTTCCAGGTGGACGACACTGAGTTTAGTCTTCTGCTTGAATTTAAAGGTTTATATTTTAAACAGTGAATGAACGATGTGAGGCCCCACAGTCTGTGGGTTTAAATTTGAGACAAAGCAGGTGTGATTTTGTTGCTGCATTCAAGGTGTAAAGGAGTGTGTGTGGACGGCACTGGTGGCTGTCTTTATATTTACAGATTTGTGTCTTTAGATGTATGCATATATATTTAGATGTTATCTATATTTGGATGCATATGGATATATGTCTGAATATATGTATATAAAAACCTTTGATCTGCTTTAATCCACTGCCTGTTTTGTCTGTTGAGTACAGAGAACTGGTATTACTGTCTGCAGAGTCTGATTATTATGTATTAGTTTTCAATAATAAAAAACCCAAACGTATCTCTCTTTACTCACATTAACCCACACAACAGTGAACTGTATTTTACCTCCTTGTACAAAGAAGAAAATCCAGCAGATGAACTACTTTAAAACAATGATGAAAGGAGCCTTTTCGACCCAGCATCAAAACACTGCTTCTGCATTTCCTCTCTCTTTGCTCTTTGTTTTTCTGTTTATTTTATTAACAGGCACTGAACAGAGAATCAGCAGCAGCAGCGGTTTTGCTTTCTGTTAAAAAATGTGTTCACTCCTGGCCTGCTTCTCATTTATTGTTGATCGAGTTAACCAACGGTAACAGAACAATAAATATGTTTTTATATTAAAAAGAAACTCCTCCTGCCCTTGTGTTATTGATGATGAGCTCTGCCTGATGCACTTGCAATTTTAGATTCAATATTGCTTTTGTGTAAAACCAATTTAATGGATTTAAAAAAAAATAGATATCTGTATTGTTAATTTTTAGTAATTTTCAAATAACTTAAATGACATCTACACTAACATTTTGGACACGAAAGGCCATGTCTGTAATTTAAAAGTTATTTTAAAACAAAATTCTACAGATTAAAATGAGTTCATATGAGGAGAAATACAACCATTTTTGTGTAGGCTTTGCTACCTGTGATTCAACGCCAGAGGGAGACATTCCGTTATTTGTATTATTTAAACAGAAATCTCCTGTTGTTGCAAAAAAAAGCCATGTTTGATTCTCTGTCTCTGTCCAAACACAGGCACGTGTCACAGCTGCAGCTGAAGACAAACACTGAACCAAACATTACAGTCTCGGTGCTGATGGAAATATATTGAAGCTAACCGCGTGCTGAAATCGACATCCATCCATCTGCTACCACTGTGATGCTCCAGTAAGTGTATTACTTGTATTTTGATGCTTAAACTGCTTAATCTATAATCTCTGTGAATGAGGTTAACAAAGGTCAGAGCACCGGCAGCCAAACCACCTTTGACTTCACTGTTAAAAATGTCATTGGTTGATCTGTAAAGCTGAGATGTTTGATACTGTAGCCAGCTCAAGGTCACCGATTTTCCAATTTAAATTTGAATTCCTGTCCTGTTGTAGCATCCTCCCGTTAATCGTTGAACGGTCGTGGAGGTGTGTGTTTGAGATGCAGTAAATGTTTGTCATGGATGATGGATGGAACACTAAATGCGAGGAAATTAGATGAAAGCCTGAGACGATTACAACCTGCTAGAAAGTGAAGTAATTATGGGCTTAAGTTTTGAAGTAGTTTATCTCATGTAATGTCAAATATTATTAAAAATATAATATTTCACAGTATGATCATGGGTCTCAGGGACAGACATTAGTAAAAGATCGATCCGTCTGTCTGACTGACTGACTATATACATTTCAATAACCATAATTAT